TGTGATAACCCTCTAAGAACCCCATCTCCTCCTGAGTTACTGTTATCCTTACATTAGCTGGGCGATTTTGAGAAGAAACTGACTCTCAGAAGAATTTGGTTGAAATGAATCGTTATTCACCAGGGCAAATCCAAAGCTAGCATCCCCTCTGGACAACTAATGGTTCATAGGTTTTCACCAACAGTTGGAGGCAGTGACTTGCCAGGATACGTAGCTCTGTTCAAACTATACATGGTGATATTTGTGATGTCTGCTGGAATCAAATTGTTCCTTCCCTGCATTTGTTCGTAATTATGCCAACAACAGTCACAGCTGGGAAAAGTGAATTGTAGTTTATGTCTTCTGTACAGAAAGTGTTTAAATATTTATCTCTGATGTATGGCTCTAGAGGAGTCAACTCTAAGATCTCCTGCTGCACTGTGTTCTATCTGACACAGTGTTGAACAGAACATGTGCTTTCATGAGCTATAAAGAATTACTATTTCTACCACTTTTGGACACTTCCTGACTAAAATGCTGGACCCATTACCCTATTATCCAGCAACACACACTGTATGTAAATGAACAGTTCTACATCCTTGGCCTTGGAGACCCCTTCTGACAAGATCAAAAGAACCAGCTGAAAATAGTGCAAAGGAGCACTTTAAGCAGAAGAGGAAATGACTCATGAAACAATAACAACAACAAAAGATACCACTTGCAGGCACCGATTTCTGAGAAACTGGCAGGTTAATCTGTCACTATTTTCTGTACATATATAGTATATGTTGTGATTGTTTTAATATACCACTGCTGCAAGCAGATGCAGAACTGGAGACCTCTCCCGCATATTGTAGCAAGCAATAGGGGGTTGGACCCCAAAATTCCTTTCAGGCAGTTTTGAGCAGCAAAAAGTCCTTGTCTCGGTACTATTTTCAGACTAAGACTCTAAAATTTCAGCCATAGCATGCAATGCGTGAGACGGTTGTCATGAAAAACATTCCACATTATAAACTACTACTCTAAAAGCACCAGAGATTGGGCCAGGAATCCAAGCCTCAAGTGATATCAAATGACTTATTATGCTATTTCCTTCCACCAAAGAAATTACATCTTGCAAGAAAAACCAAAACAGATATCTGAAATTAAACAAATTCTGTCTGGCAATTAAGCAGACGGTAAAAGAGCAAAAAGAGGCTTTGAGGAAAGATGGGTTAGGTTTATCCTTTTTACTGACACACAGCTTCCCTCTTTGATGAGCCTGAGAAATATTGCTGTAATCATCGTATCAACATTTTTTTGCCTTCCAGTAATTATGCCACTGTATAATTGAAGCTCCTGAAATTGATGTAAGCACAACTCCATAAAATATAATAAGAACCCACAGGTGGAAGTTAAAGTAGTGAAAATCAGTCAAGAAATAAAGCACCATTTTTCTTCTTTATCAGAATAATTGACAAGGACTGAGGCAAATCCTCTGTCACTGGCTATCTTTTATTGTGACGTTCTTCCAGAAGATAAAGGCACAGATTCAGGGAAGCCCTACAGCTTGAAGTAGGAAGGGGACAGTCTAGCTAACTGCAACGATACTCTGACTTCATTTGCTAAGAGTAGGTTAAGTACCTGGAAAAACAGTCTAAGTCAAATACCTTACTTTGCAAAAGCTAAATATTTGAAAGTTACCATAGCACCTCAATATTCCCAAGATGTAACACAAGAGGACAGGAGAGGAACTTCTGAAATACAGCCTCCAAATGCAGTCACTGCAACGCACGCCGCTCGACCCTGGAAGGAAGCCGATGGCCACCTTGTTCAGGAGCGCAAGATAACGAATTTCGGGGACAAAATGTCTCTCCCTCAAGCTGGTGGTTCCAGCTTGAAATTGTTGGCTTTTGATCAGAACCAATAGTAAGCACAGAAGTATGAACTGACAAACTGATCATCGCTGAACAGCAAGCAGCTCTCCCAGAGGATGTGTGAATGAACAGAGCTTTAAGACCAGACAGAATAAGCAGAGGGAGGACCTTGGTAGCTCATCCACGCTCTCGATGCACATGCTGGGAAAGATATGATGTTGAGAAATTCAAGCCTGATAAATTTCCCACCACTGAGCGAGGAAGTGGAGGGCTGGAGGGAGAAAATACTGCTGTCCCTCTCAAGAAGGGGGCATATAAAATACTGCTGTCCCTCTCAGGAAGGGTTATATAAAGTATAACAATGCATCTAGAGTATTTCACCACCCCCTTTCATTTCACTGTGGCATTTATACACGTGTTTAAGGTATCACCATTACAGGCTCAGCAGAACACAGTATCTCCCTGGAGAAACTGCTCTCCAGTCAGTGTTCTTCCTCTCACAGGCACTTGACCCGCAAAGACTGACTCATTGAGTACAGGGCAGCTCCTAACTTTCTCAACTCTTCAAGCAAACACACAGATTTCCCTATCCAAAATCCATAGTTTTACCAGTCACAGGTTTTCCCCCTTCCTCCCATTTACACACATAAATTGAACCGAGGTTCCAGCTAAGTCAAGTCCTGCCATTACTGGGATGCAGCATTCGTGACTTTGCACGAAGAGGTCCATGGCAGGAATCACCTGCACTAGCAACAGGAGGATCTTCCCCCAGGGCATGCAGAGGCCATCCAGGGTGCTTGAAACTCAGAAGGCACAGACCCGCCACTCTGCTGTAACCTCAGCCTTATCTTGTGGAAGACAGCGGTTTACCAGCAAAAAACCCAGCTCTGTTCTCGGTGGAGCACAGACTAATGGGTTGGGAATAGTGAACCATAAAAATGATCAGCACACACATTTCAATCCTAACAAACCAATATGTACAGAGCCTGTAAAGTATCCTCTGAGAGCATCATTTATACCATACATCTGATTTACATTTTTTAAGGAAATAATTGAAGCTGTTCAGCTTGTTCCAAAGGCCCAACTGGAAGGAAAAAAACCTCAAGACACCTATGTGGCAGCTTTGCAGCAGCAGGAGACTAAACAAATGGAAAAACCTAAAATAGGTTGCGACAGTTTATCATTAATCAGTATGAATTACTTGGCAGAACGCAGTATCTTTTAGTGCAACTTAGTGGCACCTTTCCCAAAGAACTAATACAAACGCGAGCACATAGCAAGAGATTCAGGGAGCAGGGGAAAAGGGATGTCATCACTGATTAAGTTGCTGATGGCAAGAAACAAAAAATGAGACTACATAGGGCAGCACCTGTGTGGCTGAAAAACATGACTGGCATGTTCCAGCTACTTCATTTGGCAAGGATAAATTCACCACAGAAGAATCATAATCATACTACAAAACACTGAAGTCTTCTGAATTTACTCCTTGCAGGCAGACACCACTTCTCCACCAGTTCTGTTTCTTCCAGCATTTGCCCAGGACAGGGAGAATATTCTGAACCCTTCCTCTTGTATTCATAAAAGAACATTACTGTTGAACATATGAAGGTATGAGGATATATGAGAGAGGCGTTATCTTTGTTTAGAGCCAGATATAAATGGAAAACTGCAGACAAAGCTTCCAGCTCAGGCAACCTCCATCAAGCCTACAAAGAAGCCCTTGTGCTGGCAGGTCCTGGCAAAGGATCTAAGCACCCAAACTATTCCATTTTTCCAACTATATGAAATGGTCTAATACAAAAGATAATTTACATATATGGATCTGGTGATCCAAACACATAGTAATCATCACAGCTTTAGTGAACTCTGATTCGGATTCTTGAATAGGTATCAAAGCAATTTTGCTTTGACCCTCAAAATGGGTTTTCAGAGGTTATATAGAGAGCAGCAGACCTCTTTCCTATATTTTTATACAGATATACCTGTAATATCTTAGATCCCACTTATGATTGCCTTTTGCATAAGGTAGTTTTGCATTTACATGTGTCAATAAATACGTAGGTCACTTACTCATTTTATGCATACTCAAAGAGACAAGTTCTAGTATGTTTCAAACCATCATTTCCATTGCTATTAGATTTAAACAGAGAAAGTAGAAGGTTCAGCAAATGACCAGACTTTGCATTTGCAAGCCTAAAAACTTGAATCTTCAAACAAAGACATACAGAGAAGGTAGTTAGAATGAGTAAAAAGCACCAGGTCAAAGTAGTTCAGACCAGTCCCCACCCTGCTAGAATCACTCTCACTACTACTTTTGTCCAAAAGAGATACAATAGTCTTTAAATTCTCAAGAAGAATTCAAAAACCATGTTTGGAAAACAATTTGTGGCAGTTCTGTCATGCTTACGTGTGAAAACCCATGTTAAAATTGCTAACTGCAGCTTACATCTCCCAGCTACTAGTGAAAAGGAGTAAGAACTTTCCTTGCATAGCAGTGTTAAAAGATAAACCTGCAAACAAGATAAAATTATCGAGATGTTTGAAAGGACTTTGAGTTTGATCAGTGAAAGAAAAAAACCCAGAGAGAGTGATCTTAGTGAAATTCTCAGACATGAAAATGAAAAACGGATTGTTCCACATTTGCATTGCTCCAATCATTTCAAACATTCTTCATTCATGTAAAGAAGGGTATTACACAAAATCTGGAGCTGTGACAAGATAAGCTTTCCGTGGACTGAGGACCCACAAATTAGAGAGAGTTAATCATTACTAAAGCTTTGTGAACAGTACTTGTCAAATACATGAGCAATTGCAAACACCTACACAGAGCTATCCAATGCCACAGCCTGAAGACAGCTAAATAACAGATATCAAAAGTCACCTCTGACAACCATGCTTTCAACCAGCCTTGTCATCAGACTTCTCCATACAGTGATAAAGGAGGCCCTTCCA